CAAATATGATTTCTAACATCGTATCTAGGCAAAAAGGTCCTTACAGGCTCAGACACCCTTTTATTGACAACCCCAACTTCTGACGCTCCTCTGCTAAAACTTTCGCCAGCTGACGGTCGTTTTGCTCTTGAGGACGGCATTACTGCCCTGGCAGTAAACGCCTCAAACACTCTCGCAGTTGTCGGCGGAGCAGACGGCAGCGTTCGTGTTGTTTCACTAGGCAAAGGCGACGTCGTAGGAAGTTTGGAAGGCCATGGAGAAGGAGAAAGCATCGAGGGTGTTGCATGGATGGAATATGCTGGTACTGAAGTCGCAGTGACAGGTGGAACGGATGGCAAAGTTTGCGTCTGGGATCTGTCGACGATGCGTTTGCGAATTACTTTAGAGCATCAGGTATAGTATTTGGGTGATATGTCAGTATTTTGAATTTGATCTAATCTATATTCCTTTTCAGGACGCGGTAACATCCATCCATCCCCATCCCGCGCCGTCATCGTACCTTCTTACAACATCCAGCGCTGATAAGACACTCCGAACATGGGATGTACGAACGGGAGCTGTTGTCCGAGAACACAAAGGCCATCATGGTCCTGTTCTCGGCGCGTCCTTGGGAGTTATTGACGGACATGTGGTAGTAGTGAGTGCGGGAGACGACGGAGCTTGTCTAGCGTTCACTACGGAATAGCACGATTATTATTAAGTTCTTTGTCTGTACATGTGGGAACGAATATCCTAGCTATTTTGTAAAGGCCGAGTATTATTCGTGCAGAGACATGTGCGCGCTAATCTTCAAGTTATCCGTGTTATAAGTTGGCGCAAAGACCTTACGTGTCACTTTTTCTTTACCACCATGCTGCTCCTCCCCCTTGCGAGCATTTTGACCAGCGTTCTGTCACTTGTACAGGCGCAATCGAATGTCGTTGATTTGACACCAGCTAATTTCGATGCGGTCATTGGAAAGGGCAAGCCTGCACTTGTTGAATTGTGAGTGTAGCTAAAAGATTACTTATCACGTTCTTTGTTGATGAGATGACTGAAGCTTTGCACCGTGGTGGTGAGAGATTGTATAGCTTTCTAAATTATCCGCACATGTAATGATGAACTCGAAATGTAGCGGTCACTGCAAAGTATGTACATGAATGCACCTTCATTTTTCAAAAATAGTCGCTCACTTAATAAACATATAGAATCTTGCGCCTGTATATGAAGAGCTTGCTAATGCATACTCACATACATCTGATGTTATTATTGCCAAAGTTGATGCAGATGCTGAGAAGGAGCTTGGGTATGTCCACATAATATTGTTTGTGCAACAACAACAATCGTTGATTTCTCGCCATTCAGAGAACGTTTTGGAGTAAAAGGATTCCCTAGTGAGTGTCAAGTCACTCCAACCCCTGTTAACTGCTCACAGGTGCTTCCACAGCCCTTAAGTGGTTTGACAAAGATGGTACACCTGAAGACTATAACGGCGGACGAACACTGACAGATTTGGCCGAGTTGTGAGTAGAATTAGAGCCTATTGTGCCACTCAAATATATATACTGGGCTTCCTAGCGTGACGAAGAAGTCGGGTGTCAAGTCAAAGATCAAGCCACCGCCTCCACCAGCCACTACCCAACTGAACTACTTGACCTTTGAAGAGGCTGCAAACGTGAGTAAATATATCATAACGATATGATATGGTGCTAATGGTGCCATAGGACCCGACGAAGGATGTCCTTGTTGCATTTACTGCGTCATGGTGGTACGTTAATTTACCATATTGGCAATGTTCCCGACCTAACAATTGCATGCAGCGGCCACTGCAAGACCATGAAACCTATTTATGAGCAAAGTGGGTTGCAAGATCTTCGTGGCATCCATAGTACTAATGGATCATACCAGTTGCCAAGAACTTCAAGCCCGAAGCTCATGTGCGTTCTTTCTTGTCAAGAGTAATGGCAGAAACTGAATCGCTTCGTCTAGGTCGTCATCGCAAATTACGAATGTGATACAGAGGCCAACAAACCTTTGGCCTTGAAGCTGGGGATTGGCTCATTCCCGACCATCAAGTTCTACCCCAAAGGATCGAATAAGAAAACTCCCATTGTCAGTGTGCTTCTTACTATACGTGTGATGTGATATCTCATATAGACGTAAATAGCTCTATGAAGAGGGCCGTAGTGAGAAGGAATTCACTGAGTGGCTCAATGAGCACTGCGGTACCCAGCGTGCTGTTGGCGGTGGATTGAACGAACAAGTTAGTTGCTTATGTCTTTTTGTCAGCACGGGCAGGGTATTGATGGATTTGCATCTGCAGGCTGGTCGTATTAGCACACTAGATGAGCTTGCGCAGAAATTCTTCACAGCTGCCCCAGCGGGCCGCCAGGCCATTTATGACTCTGCTAAGGAGCTTTCAGATGCTGCTGCAGGATATGGAGCTGTCTACATCCGTTCTATGGAGAGAGTCCTCAACGGCACGGCTGATTACTTCCAGAAGGAAGGCAAGCGGTGAGTACTGGAATATGAAATGTATTGCTAAGGAAGCGGAGTGCTGAATGGTTGCGGTGTATCAGTCTCGCCTCGATTTTAGAAAAACGTATGTTGTCTGAGGAAAAGTTGGATATGATCAAGATCAAGGCCAACATTATTGCTGCTTTTGCTGAGAAGACGGAGGAACCCGTCGAGGAGGTCAAAACGCTTAAGGAGGAATTGTGAATGTAAAAGATAATATAAGTTATGATACATATTGATCAGAGGGAATGGCAAGGCCAGTAAGCGCTTGACAAAAAAAGAAAAAGAGAAATTTTTAAGGACCGAAGTTTTTTAGTAAGCCGCGGAAGCATTCCAAGTACAGTCAATCCTCACCGTTCTCCACATCTACTTCCCCCCCCCTCCGCCTAGGTTCGTCACTATGAATCCCGCAATCACCAATTTGGTTATTTCCCTCGGTGCAATGCAGGGTCAGTGTTTTTTTAAACACGTTTGTAATAGTATCCCGGTACTGACGCATACGTGTTCCTGAATTCTTGTCTTCCACTACGTTTTTGGTCCCTCCCAGTTGCTCGCAAAATTCCGTTTGAGGACCCAGACGTGCTCAATTACGTCCGGATTGGATATGCCGCCACACAGATCATCACGTTGGTTATATACTTCTATACATCGTACAAGGTGAGGGTTGCGGTTGTTTTGGTATCCAGGACACGCAGGGAGGGAAAGAGAAGGAGACTGATTGTACCTTTTTCTCGTGCACTCTAGGTCAAGCAAAAGAATGACCAGACTGTGTTGAAATATGGTGTGTATAGTTCTCGCTTTATTTGTGGGAGGTCGTTGACGTGTCACTTTTGTCGTGTAGTGGAGCCGGCGAATCCTATGGTTGGTGTCTGGCTCGTAGGACAGCGTAGACCGAGTTATTAATGTTTTTTAGAGCCCTGACTCGGGAGGATTGATTACTACTACCAACCGTGATTACGACCTAAGTGAAATCTCAAAACTTGTGCGTACTCTGAGCAACCCACAGCGATAGTAACTGACACTCTTTCACAGCTCAAGGGTGTATATATGGGCATTGGTATGCCTCACATCTTATCGTTTCTCTCCACCTTGCTCACGAATGATTTTCAATGAACCAGCCATGATGGGATTTTTACACATCTACATGAAATACACGCAACCGCTCTTCGTTCAGGCATTAATGGGTATTAAGAACTTATACGAGGCCAAGCCTATCGCCATTCATATCTTCGGAAAGAAGGCTGAAGGAGACCTCAAAAGGCCATTCAAGGGTGCACCCAGCATGTTCGGAGGTACATGATCTATGCTGTTAGTATATTCGCATACTAACGTAAGATGCAGGAGGAGGTAACCCAGCCACTGATAAGGCAGCCATCGAGGAAGCCGAAAAGAAGGTTGGTGGTGTTAAAGAGGAATAAAACAGATGGGTGCCAAGCACGTATCTATCTGCCTATTAGACGGATCGAGGCTAGAATCTGTAATTTGTTCTATATATATATATTCGTCTGCATATCCTGGCTTAATGGTGTCTATGTGTGTGCGAACTCGAAGTATCATATCATCCCAATAAAATGAATGGATGTCACAAACATCTCTTTCAGTTGTATAAATGTATATGTTTACTCAAGTTTGTAGCCAACAAGACTTCTGCGCCCGAGGATCTCGCCAATCTGAGTAAACATGGGAAGAAAATGTCAGAAAAAGGCTGCAGCGCAACAATGAATAATTAATCTACCTTGAATATAGTATATGCCTCAATTCCATACAAGCCAACCTTCTTCCACTGTCCATTATTCACAATCTCCCGCCAATAACTCGGGTTACGAGCGTGCTGGAATAGAGTAGTGTATGTCTCGACCCATGTCTGGGGGCTCAATGGGGGCTGCAGTCGCTCAGCAACATAGACCTGCTTCAAGAGCTCCTTCGCCACCGCAATGTTATACGCCAACGGCGCACGATACGCTATCGACCCCGGAATGTGAGCAACGCGGGCTAATTCACCAAATAGACACCACCACCACACGCGCACCTCCAAGCATGCCGCAAATGCGGTCGCCCAACGGGCCCGCGGCGGTCTTGACCTTCTCAAAGGCGTATCCAGCCTGCTTCGACGCGGCACTGTAGGCGTTTTGCGCCGTCTTTTGGGCGTGTTCGAGGGAGGGGTTGGGGGGTGCCGAGGATGCGAAGCGACGGGGCGCAGTGCGCGTGGATAAACGGGCACGGAGCCGGAGGGAAGAGCGTAATGTCGACGACATTTTTGGGGGAAAAAGACCTCGTCGGCTGGGTCGGAGGCGCAGGGGCGGGGATGAGCGACGACGGAAGGGAAACTTGAAATTGGATGTGACCGTCACACGTCACTGAGAATGAGAGAGCGGGGGTTTCCGGCATTTTTTCGTATAAGAAAATTCTCCGAATTAGATAAATCAAGACAAAAAGTATTCGATTTTATGGCTTCTAGAGAAATGGATTCCAGGAAGGGTAAGAGAGTGACGATCGCTATCACTGGGGACGTGGTGTAGGGGTTATCACGCCTCATTTGCAAGTACATTATGTACGAGAAAATTTGAGGCGGTCACGAGTTCGATTCTCGTCGTCTCCAGCCTTTTTTGTCCCCAATGCCTTCCTTAGTTTATCCTCCTTGACTCGTCGCCATTTCTCACATTGCAATATTTTATTCGAGTATATAATTAATTACCTTACCCACAGATGAACAAATATCAAGCAGACTTAAAAAAAACAGCAACACATAATGTCTCTCACACACACGCTCCTTTACGTTGATAGAAAAGAACACTTATATAGAATCTTACTTTTCTTCCCTGAATCTGCTTTCGCTGTTTCCAGGGCCCGAGTTGACGGCAGCACCACCCTCTGTGTATTCCTGCTGCAATGCGTGGGGTGGGTGTCCCTCAGGAGCTTTCTCTTGCTGGCGTTTTGAAGGGCGGCGAGAAACACCTGTGCTTATTCCCTCGCCATCTTGCTGAGTATCAGCATGATGCTTTTTATCAATCTGTCGGCATGTTAGAGAGTTGCAAATTACTGCACAGAGGAAGCACGTACAGGGTACCCATTGGGGCCCAACTCGGTAATGTTGTTCCCCTTGTCGCGCTGAGAATACAATGGGGCCGCCGTCTCCGAGTCGACACCCGCTCCCACATCCTGATGCACGTCGTGGTACGTCTCTCGCTCTTCTTCTTCAAAGCTGCTCCCTTCCTCGATATCCTCGTCGTCCTCGCTGATGTATCCCGCCGACCGCACAGCAGCGGCAATAGGCCCGCTCCGCTCCATCTGCTCGCTCGCAACGAGGTACCGCGCAACCAGCATTCGGATATCATTCCACCACTCCATCATGTCGTCGTGGCTTCGCCCGCGGAAGGTATACGCGTGCTCGCGGCGCGAAAGGATGCTTCCCGCGCGCGTCGTCCCGTTGCCGTCTTTCTTCCCCTCTATATGGAATTTGTGCGACTTGTCCTTTCTTGACGACGAGGGCGGACCGAGCGTGCATGCTGGCAGAAAGAGACTGAACGTGGGCAGGAGCGATGCCTTTGGGTCAGAGCTTGAGAATTCGTGCAGGTAGCCTGCGGGCGTGAGGACGTAGTACGACTCCTTGTAGCTGCGTGTAAACCGTTTCTTGCGCTCCATGAGGCCTGTGTGCACGGGGATGACACTTGGGTCTTCCTTCGATGGATACTCTATCGTTTCTGGGTTGCGCAGAGGTGTGTCGGGGTCGAGGAGGTGGTCTGAGCGGGCGGCGAAGGAGATCCATTCGCGATCGGGGGCGAGGGCAGCCATGGTAAGCCCCATTGTGCGCCAGGTGTCTTGCACCTGGCTTGACATGCGGGATTGCCACTCGTCGAAAGTTTGCCATGCGGATTGAATGGAGCGCACGATGCCTTCCTCGAAGTGGGCCGAATTCTGCTGCATGATAATAATGGACTTTTGAAGGGCATTTTCTTCGTTCACCTGAATCGTGGTCAGTAGAACGCTAGCAAATGCGATGGGAGATGATGAAGGAGCGACGTACTTGCTTTTGGAGTTGGCGCGCGACCTGCATATTTGAGACATATCTAAGCATAAATAAGGGGACGTGACTTCGCGCATGCAGTCTAAACAACATACGGATCCTCCTTCGAAGTGACGGCCATCGGGGTATTCTTAAACATGCCAATATGTTTGGTCAGCTCCGCAATCAGCTTTGTCGACAACTCGCGCTCCTTCGCCACATTCGTCGCCAGCTTTCCCGTGTCGTTCTGCACGTTCTGCGGGAGGTTGAGCGCATGTAGGATACTCCGCCAACACGCCAAATGCCCGATGTCCACCCACCTTGATGTGCGCCTTGATCTCCAGCCGCAGCTTCTGCAAGTGCTGGACGATCGAGCCGTCGATCGTGCGCCCGAGATTCGCGTGGTGGTCCGCCATGGTGCGGGTCTTGTCGCGGATTCCGTAGTAGATGTCCTGCATCCCGCCCTCACCGAGGAACTGGTTTCCCGCGCGGAAGGGCACCTGGATGACCGCGCCGAGCTTGGTGAGTTCTTTAGCCGTGTTATTTTCGATATCTGCGATGCCCTAGAGTGGTTTTTCGCCCCGTTTAGGGTAGATGCGGCAGCTTGATAGTGAACATACCTCGAAGTAGGCGATCAGTTGCTTTACGATGGCTTTCCATGCGACGAAGCGCTGTATTGCATAGAATTGATCAGTACGATGATGCCGTCACTTGACAACGTTAACATTATGCACCTCTATGAGTACATCACTTGGTTTCAAGTCATGGGCTGCAACGTTCTTCTTAATGAGCGACTGGTTTCTGCTCAACGCTGAGCCGTGTTTAGATGCCCGCGACATTGATGTTGCGCGAGAGAGTGTTCCGTCACCTCTTTCGTGATTCATGGCAGTGGTTATGGTGGAGGATTTAAGAAAAATCGAGATTATATAAATACAGCAGGGTAAGGTGAGTGGGATGACGTCAGAAATCCACACTCGATCCCGTGACTTCCAGCCCATTTCCATGACTCTTATTTTCTCAATGATAATTTTCGAATTATAACGTACACAGCACATCCAAGAAATCGTGAGAATCTCAATCAATACGTGTCGTTACCTCGGCAGCACTCAGTGATTCGCTCTCGAAAGTAACGGTTTGTTGCTTCCCTCTTGTCCACGGTCACCTTCATCGCCGCCATGTCCATCCAGGTAGTTTACCCCCTCGGGATCCTCTGACTCGCTCTGCAAAGTCTCTTCAAGGTCAACCGCCGACGCCACGTTCGTCCGTAACAGCGTGAACATTGCCGATGACGTAATAAGCAGCCCTGCGGCAAGAGCAAAGATCGCTTTGGGATATGTCGCTGCTGTTTCGCTGTATACTACGCCGAATAGTAATGGCTTGAAACGCATAGAAGGGTTAATCGACAATTTTAAACATGTGACAACGCTTGCACCTGTAGCGTATGCGCAATAGCCTGCAACATGCTCATCCCTCCAAACATCCGTCCCACATTCTCATCGTTATGGTATGCAAGGAGGTACGACACTGCCAAGGAATGTATCGCAGGGTTCACGCCAGCAGTGAATGACGACAACGACGTGAAGCATACGAAGAGAATCTCCGAGGTGGCCGGAGCCAGCAGCGTGAGGACATATGCTGCGCTGTCGATGAAAATGGATGCCTGAGCAACGAGGTAGTCGAACTTCATGTCCTGAGATAGGGCTGTTGGGCTATGTATTGAGCGTTTTGGACGGATGAAGCGGAGAAGTGCTGGTGAGGGTGAGGTGGGTTAGAGATGGAAGTGAACTAAAACGGTGGAAAACGAACTGGGGAGGAGGAGAAGCAGGTGGAAAGCCCGTAATATCCACAGTAGGGATATGTACCGTCCGAGCTATATCATTGGATGTGAGCGCAGACGCAATATATAACTCTGGTCGGCCCACCTGATCGACAGTCCAAGCAAATGTATGCTGTGCATACAAGAACTTGACCTGCACTACACCCTAAACGAAGAAGCCTCAAAAGGCCGCCCACAAAAAAAAAATCCAATCAATAACACAACTCACCACCGACATCAAATGTGTAAACTGCGCCACCACCAAAAGGGTCATATTCAACTCCCAACCTCCATCAGGCTTCTTCTTCGGCGCAAATATTGTGAGTGGGGACAATAGTCTCCCGAGTCCTTCTCTGAATCTTCTCGCCCACTTGTCTTTGATATTCATGCCTTCTTCGTCACTACGCGACTCTCTTCCTGAACGGCGGGCGGTGAGCATCATTTCGTGGCTGACGGTTTCAGGGAGAATGAGGAATGCGTAGAGAAAAGCAGCAATGTTGATGAACAGGCCAGTATAGAACATAGTGGTACGGGCATCGGAAGAAGAGAATCTGTGGACGAAGGAGCCGATCTACGGGATGGTTAGCTGGACTTGGGCAAGCAAAAGGAAGACATACATGGGGGCCGGAGGCTAATGAGATGTAGCTTGCGCCTTGAAAGTAGGCGAATATAGTAGATCTGCTGGAGAGTTAGTAGAAGTCTAATTTTCCTGCGACTGCGCCTACCGTGACCCGGGACTAGCACAGTCAGCAAGATATCTGTATAAATTTAGTAAGGGGGCAAAATAAGAGTTGGGGGAAAGGCATACGCATTCTCCGCAGCGTGGTATGTTGTTAAACTCCCCAGTATACCTTCCATCACCGGTCCAACAATCAAGAAATTCTGTGCGTGTCGATTGAAGAATGAGCCTGGTTTGTTGACGAGAACGTAGACGATATCCCTGTGAATACACATTAGACGATATCCACATTAAAATGAAAGAGCAGTCTCACTGGGAGACCATCCCAACTAGATTAGCAGCAATGACAGCTTTCCGTCCAAATGCGTCCGATATCTGTCCCCAATAACCAGCTGTAATAATGCTCAGAACACCAACAATCGTCCCCAACGCTGAAAACAGAAACTTAGTACGCGGGCAGGCAACAGAAGATGACATGGGAACGTACTAGCCTGTATAGCGGCGGCTCTCGACTGTACTGCTGGATCATGCAGACACTCCACAGAGGGCGCCATAATAGTCACGTCCCTTGGTACGTGTAAGGTATTTGGATGCAGGTCCTTGGGGTGATACAGAAGCGGCGATGGTACGTCGAAATCATGCAGCGTGAGTGGAAAAGGGAGCTCCCGGGGTGCCGAGACTGTGGAGTTCAACCACGGGGACTGAACGGTGGTGTTCGCAACGGGGTGGAGCTCGTCACAGGCGACCTGGGTATACACTTCGATTCGAGAGGCCATAGTCATCCCGCGCTGTTGTACGTTGAGCCTACGGCGAGGTCGCGGACGATGTGCTACGTGGGACTTACCGCAAACCCCGCGAGGAGGACAACAGGGATCATCCTAGAAGCGCATGAGTACAGATATATCGCTACGTATGTTAAGGGGACGGCACCATAAACTGGACCGCCTCCTCCGCCGGTCGTGGGCCTCCCTTATGGAGAGGGGATCCAAGATGGACGGGGAGCCATTTCTTGGTACGGGCAGCATCGGGTCATGCTCTTCGTAGTCCCCGGCACGCAGGACGATTGAGCGCGAGTCAAGGCCGAGGCTCGCGCGCGACCTT